TACCTTCTCAACAATCAAAAATATTTTTTCACTCACGATATTTAAGTACAAATTTCTTCAACTTTTTATCTTAATAATTGACGATATATAAATATATTATTCTTAAGAAAGTTTTTAATTGAATCAAAAGCAAAATTTATAATTAATAGTTGAGAATGGAACTTTTCTTTAAAATATTAAATTTCACTTTAGTATTGGGATCGCTTAATTCAAGATTTTTCTTATGAACTCTCAACAGGTAATTCCTTCTCATATAGCAGGAATTGAGAACAAGAAAGTCATCTTTGGAAACAATGAAATAAAAGAGTTTGATGCGATCGTGTTTGCTACTGGCTATAGAAGCATAGTTAATACGTGGCTTAAGGTATGAGATATATAAGTTGTAGTTATTAATATGTAATTTTTGAGCAAAAGTTTTATTTTTTTCAAATCTCTCAAACAAACTCTAATATTCCACTCCTTATCTACATTGCCAAAGTAAAGAATATATATACCCATTTAGTCAAGTAAAAAGATAACATATAGTAATTAAGAATGATTTTAATTGATTGGTGTTAATTTATATTGCAGGATTACAAATATGTTCTAAATGATGAGGGGATGCCAAAAAATGAATTTCCAAATCACTGGAAAGGTGAATATGGATTGTATTGCACAGGACTGTCAAAAAGAGGTTTATTTGGAGTTAAAATGGATGCTGAAGCTATTGTCGATGATATCAATCAAACTCTTAACTTACATTAGAAAGTGTCTTTTCTACGAGTCTCTTACATATAATTTTCATAAATAGGATTACAATATATTAGTTATGATGAATATATTTTTAATTTCATGTATTGTAAATTCATCATTTAATGGTGAAGTCGAATAAAATGTTTCAAAATTTTCTTTCAATATGCTTAAAAGTTCTAAAAGAATGCATCTCCTTAAATTCATCTTTCATTCACTTCATAGCTACATAGCAACTTATTTCGATGATTAACATTGTTTATATCTTTACCATAACCATTAAACAGTGAGGCATAGTGGGGGAAACAATAGATATAGGCTCAATCCACGATAGGTTGAGCTATAAGTGAGTCAATTTGGCTCTACTCACCTTTAGGTGACTTAAAAAAAATCAACCCTGCTCGGCTCACCACAGGTTGGTGGATTAAATGAGTTGGCTCACTTAACTTAAAAAAAATCAAAATACTATTGAACTTTATAAAAAAATATATATTATAATCTCATATTTTAGAATTACAACTATGTTAATAAATCGGACAAATAAAATGTCAAAAAAGAATTAGATATCATTCACAACCAACTTACAAAATCAGTTATTACATAAAATATTAGCAAATAATATCAAAGTGACACTAATTATCATAATTCATAACTAGTATGTACAAAATTTAGTCAATGGTATGAATGTATAATCACATAAATTAACATTTAGAACATAAAAAGTAAACATATTATTAGGTGAGCTAACCCATGAGCCAACTCAACTCACCACGGGTTGACTCGTGGTGAGTCGGGCCAAATTTTCTTTATAACTAAAACAAGACAAAATTTTCTGGCTTGACCCAGCTCAAACTCGTGATGGGCCAGGATGACTCAGAGATTTTAACTCACTTTGACAGCTCTAGTTCCAAGCATGCCTAAAAGGAAGACCTAAACCCTCTTCAGCTAAAGAATTTTATTTAAAACATGAGTTTAGTAAAAATTATTATTTGAGTCTTTATTGTTTTTCTTACATAATAATATAAAAGAGACATTTCTTACCTTCTTATATATTTTATTTAAAATAAAAAATATTATATCACAACTTTTTCGTCAAAGTTACAAAAGACTTATAAAATTGAAGTTCAAATGAATTACATATAAGTGTAATAACTCAAATTTAATTACATAAAAACAAATATTTTCATATAAAAGTAAACATGGAAGATAATTATCAAAAGTGATATCACCTTAATTTATTAGTAACTAACATGAAAATAAGACACTTTGTGCCTTTAAGAGAAACACATTTCCTACATTTTAGTTAAACGATGAATGTAATTTTTAATGTAATATTATATATTATCAGTGTAATTTATTTTTTTCAATACAACTAATTAAAATTATCCTAAATACAACTTTGAAAAATATTTATTACGAAATCAACAATTTTATGATTAAACAATAGTAGAAGAATATTTTTGCATTATGAGTGTATTTTAATTAAATTGAAATCCTATTGAAAATATTATCTATGCATAATTATAAATATATCATAAAAAGATAATAAAAGTAATAATATAATCATTAAAATTAATATATATATATATATAT